AATCAAACTATCAAACATATATGTTTTATAGGAAAATGCCCATGCGGGTAGGTGGAGACTCATATATTCATGTTTATATCTATCTCTCTATCTGTCAATTTAATTCATTTGATGTTAATGTTAAGTGAAACCCAAGTCCAAGTCCCATTCATGGTCCATCTATACTTATAGGAACTCCACTGTGTGACTGGACTAGAAATAATTTTTTTCTAGAGTTGCTTACCATTTGATGTTTATTCAGATTTGGTGGTTTGGATATATTGGTTATATGCAATACTTTAGATCATTTGCTTACTCCATTTTCCAGAAAAATCATTTTAATTGAATGTGCAAAAAGTCTTTTTAAGTAGTTAAACCCAAATCAGGCTAAGAACCCCTCACAAGATGGATTTTCAATTTCAGTATATTTCTATCATCTTTTTCACATTTTAAGAGTCTGAGTTTATTTATGAAAGAATTTCAAAATTTTTTGTTTCTAAGTTTTTTTTATGTAAGTAGAGCTCCTTTAATGTCCCATTCCTTTTCTATTTATAGTATACCTTCTTTACTGGAAAGGATAGAATTGCCTATGAAGCAACTCTATACAGTAACTTTCTTTACATTTAGCCGATTGGCATCAATTGATTAGAATCTACCACCCAGTTCTGTCCAGATTGAAAGGTGAACAAGTCCATTTAAGATATTTATATATGGTGAAATGTCTTAATTTTAGATTTCTGTAAAAAAAAAAAAATTATTAATTTTAAATGTACGCTCTTTCTCATTATTTAGGAAATTTCAAAATATGTACTGACTGAATGGCAAACAGTAAAGCCCAAGATCAGACTGCATTGATTTGTTGCCTTATCTAGCCCTGTGTAAATTCAGTCACCAACAGTAGGCTATGGTTAAAGTGTCTATAAAAAAAACGATACAAAAACAAAGTTTTCTCCACACTAGAAAAATTTGCACTTTATAATTTTTCTAATATTTCCAAGTATCTAGACATCATTCAGAAGTAATTAGTGCGTACAAATGATAAGATGACTTGAGCATTTAATAAGGTGTTGTTTTTCTGTGCATGCATGCTTGTTATTTTAATTTCTGCTAGTTTTAAGTTGACAGGAAATATTATAAAGGAGCTGGTATTGTGGAGCTTTGCAACTTTAAAATTTTTTACACTCCTTTTCCATTCCTTTCTTGTGTGTACTTTGTTTTACTGAAAACAATATTTTAGAAAATTGGTAGGAAAAAATAAAACCTTTGATGCCCTGCATATATGTTTTATGGTATCAGGAAGGTATTTCAGCTTTGCAGATTCACGAATTGGAAAACCTAGCTAAACACTTTTCCTTCCTTTACAGCTGTACATTCCAGATTTTAGCTAAGGGGAAAATTCACCTAAATGGTGTGTACTAGTGCAAAGTATGTTTTTGGCCTTTTCCATTTTGGATTAAAATGAAATAATACAATTTTATGCAAAAATCATCTCTATTTATTATATTATGGCAAATGCCACTACGACTGTTTTAAATTTATAAATTTTCATTATAAACAATTTAAATTTTGTAAAATTTGAGACGAACATTGATAGTTTCTAACACATCAAATTTACCACCTTAAATGGTAAAATAATAATAAAAATATTTATATCACGAAATAACGCTGTGTACTTCATTAGGTAATTTTCCACAAAGCTAAATTGGTAACATACCAGAAAACAGTGTTTAGCTACTGGTCTTCAAAAAGGTCAATTTAAAAAGTCATGTATTAAGTGTATTCCCAGAAAATGATATACAGTGTATACAATATACTAGATAATGAAATGTAATGTACTTTTAGGAAATGATTTGAGCCGCGTCATGACAAAACCAACATAGTGTGTTTGCGACCAGCATGGATCCAGACCAGCCTGCACATCCCCGCAGTCTGATCAGGATCCATGCTGTTCGCTATCTCGGTTTCTATACTGGTTATAGAGTTTGTAAGCGAACAGCATGGATCCTGATCAGACTGCTCGGATGCGCAGGCTGGTCTGGATCCATGCTGGTCGCAAACCCACTTTGTTGGTTTTGTCATGACACGGCTCATTTATTGCATTAAGATGTGTTCTCTGTATATAATATATATTTTACAATGCATAGAGGATAATAAAAAGTAAACTTTATATGTTTAGTAAGAATCTTACACTGTCTGTCGGTACAGGCTAAAAGTAACTGTACTGTGTTGTACAGTTATGAGACCTCTGCCTACTTTCTGCTAAGACGTTACCCAAGAACTAGAATTGATATTTGCTTTTGTGACTTTGACTAGTGCTTGATTCTTTTTCTTGCATATTGCATATTGGTCATAATTAAAAAAGAAATGAAGAAACTTGATAATTTTAATTGGCACTTCTTTCTTACAACTATTAAATTTTCTTTAGCAGAATTATGATGTGTATTTTACAATATTATTCCAAATGGTGGAATGATGTCATCCTAAACTCCAAGTCTTTCATAAAGTGGCTGAAATTATGTTAGAATGTATTTTGAAACATGTACCTCAACTTAAAGAATGGGTGATAAAGATGACATTTTCTAGCACCAGTTCAAACACTAAAAATGTCAAGTCTGATATGAAAGAAGAAAAAAACATGTAAAAAAAAGTTTTCTGAAATGATTATTATAGGATATTGTAGTATAATAGATGTGAAAAGTATTCTCAGAAGATAATTGAATGATTATGCCCCCATTTCGAAGAAAAGGGGGTATATTGCTTTGCACTTGTCGGTCCGTCGGTCCGTCGGTCCGTAGACCAAATGGTTTCCGAGTGATAACTAAAGAACCCTTAGGCCTAGGAACTTCAAACTTGGTATGGTGATTGGTCATGACCAGTAGATGACCCCTATTGATTTTGGGGTCAAGGGGTCAAAGGTCAAGGTCACATTGACCTTGTAAGCAAAAACGGTTTCCGATCAATAACTAAAGAACCTTCAGGCCTAGGAACTTCAAACTTGATATGGTGATTGGTCATGATCAGTAGATGATCCCTATTGATTTTGGGGTCAAGGGGTCAAAGGTCAAGGTCACATTGACCTTGTAAGCAAAACCGGTTTCCGATCAATAACTAAAGAACTTTAAGGCCTAGGAACTTCAAACTTGGTATGGTGATTGGTCATGATCAGTAGATGACCCCTATTGATTTTGGGGTCAAGGGGTCAAAGGTCAAGGTCACATTGACTTTGTAAGCAAAAATGGTTTCCGATCAATAACTAAAGAACTTTAAGGCCTAGGAACTTCAAACTTGGTATGGTGATTGGTCATGATCAGTAGATGACCCCTGTTGATTTTGGGGTCAAGGGGTCAAAGGTCAAGGTCACATTGACTTTGTAAGCAATAACGGTTTCCGATCAATAACTAAAGAACTTTAAGGCCTAGGAACTTCAAACTTGGTATGGTGATTGGTCATGATCAGTAGATGACCCCTATTGATTTTAGGGTCAAGGGGTCAATGTCAAGGTCACATTGACCTCTTGGGTAAAAACGGTTTCTGATCAATAACAAAAGAACCCTTAGGCCTAGTAACTTCAAACTTGGTATGGTGATTGGTAATGACCAGCAGATGACCCCTATTGATTTTGGGGTTAAGGGGTCAAAGGTCAAGGTCACATTGACCTTGTAGGTAAAAACGATTTCCGATCAATAACGAAAGAACCCTTAGGCCTAGGAACTTCAAACTTGGTATGGTGATTGGTCATGACCAGCAGATGACTCCTATTGATTTTGGGGTTAAGGGGTCAAAGGTCAAGGTCACATTGACTTTGTAGGTAAAAACGGTTTCCAATCAATAACGAAAGAACCCTTAGGCCTAGGAACTTCAAACTTGGTATGGTGATTGGTCATCACCAGCAGATGACCCCTATTGATTTTGGGGTTAAGGGGTCAAAGGTAAAGGTCACATTGACCTTGTAGGTAAAAACGGTTTCTGATCAATAACGAAAGAACCCTTAGGCCTAGGGACTTTAAACTTGATATGGTGATTGGTCATGATCAGTAGATGACCCCTATTGATTTTGGGGTCAAGGGGTCAAAGGTAAAGGTCACATTGACCTCTTAGGTAAAAACGGTTTCCGATCAATAACTAAAGAACCCTTAGGCCTAGGAACTTCAAACTTGGTAAGATTATTGGTCATGACCAGTAGATGACCCCTATTGATATTGGGGTTAAGGGGTCAAAGGGCAAGGTCACATTGACCTTGTAGGTAAAAATGCTTTCAAATCAATAACTTAAGAACCCTTTGGCCTAGGAACTTCAAACATGGTATGGTGATTGGTCATGACCAGCAGATGACCTATTGATTTTGGGGTCAAGGGGTCAAAGGTCAAGGTCACATTGACCTTGTATGTTAAAACGGTTTCCGATCAATTAACTAAAAACGCTTAGGGTTAGGAACTTCAAACTTTGTATGATGATTGGTCGTGACCAGCAGATGACCCCTATTGAGTTTTGGGTCAAGGGGTTAAAGGTTAAGGTCATGACCAGTAGATACTTGATAACCCTTATTAATTGTTTGATCACTTGGTCAGAAGTCATAATAACCTTATCACATGACTAATTGGCTGCTGATAGGGGGCATACATGTTTTACAAACATATCTTGTTAAACAAGACTTACCGACGAAGGAGGGAAGTTGAAGTTTGATCTGGATTTTATTGACTGCAAACTCCTGAAGGGCTCACACAGAGATGACGTAGCTCATTACTTATGCAGATTCAGTTTTTAGAGTCCTAGTGTCTAGTTTTGTTTCCATAAAACAAAACTAGACATGAAAAAGCGTGTGTACAGAGAAATCAAAATTTGGGTATGGGTGGGTGGGTGTGTGAGCCCTTCAGGAGTTTGCAGTCAATAAAATCCAGATCAAACTTCAACTTCCCTCCTTCGTCGGTAAGTCTTGTTTAATCATTCAATTTTATTGACTGCATAACTCCTGATAGGGCCCCACAGAGATTTTAGAGATATTTCTCTGTCAAAGCTTCAAGTTTTTGTAAAATAAATGATTTGACAAATAACTTCCATATGGTGTTATACTTGTATTTGAAATAATAATTTTTTGAAATCATGTACATGTAAAGTATAACACTGAATACAAGGCAAAGCACATTTTAAAATTATGACAATTTACTAATCCAGTAAGCACATTTGCATAGTATGATCTTCCACAATCTGTTTATTATAAAATTTATTAAATGTTCTAGCATTTTGCCAGCCCGCAGTTTTAAGTATACAAGAAAGAGGAATGCCTCTAGAGTTTGCAGAACTTGCTGCTGCTGTCCTTATACTATGGGGAGTATAATGCTCTAGTACCCCAGCCTTATTCAAAAACATTCTTATCCACCTAGCAACAGTTGACTTAGTTACAGATTTGTGGGGTTTTTGTGTCCCAATCAAAAGTTTATTATTCATTCTTAGACTTTTCGTCCTCTCAATATATTCCTTGAATACTGTCACTATGCACAACCTTTGGTCTGCTGAATATTCGTTTAGATGTAATGGTGCGGGGTGTCTGCCTGGCTTAGACTGTTTTAACATATGGTTAAGTTTAATGATCATTTTATTATCTACAAATATGATATCTTCTAAACAAATTAAATGTAATGTTTGGCAGCGTTGTGCTGTTAGTAATAAAAACAATACTGCCAATTTTCCTGTTAATGTCATCAATGTCAACTCTGATGGTAATTGTTTAATAAAATCTAGAACTGACTGAACATCCCATATATGGTTATATTTTGGTAAAGCAGGTCTTAATTCAAACACACCCTTCATAAATTTATTTATTACAGTACAATACTTAAAATCCAGTCCCGAACACATGTGAACTAACTGATTAATAGCTGATCTCGCTGTATTAATGGCACTGTATCCCAGACCTGAATTATACATAGAGGTTAAAAATGTTATCACATTAGCAGGTTTAGGCGCCAGTGGATTAAAATTATTTTTATCAGTAAACTTAATCCAGCGGTTAATATAAACAGCATATATCTTTTTGGTAGATTTGCGCCATGATGACATTATGATATTTGCTGACTCGTCCACGATGTTTTGCTTTCGTAATGCGTCCCTGATATACGAAAAACACCTAGTCTCAGATGTTTCAGCGGATGTTTGTGCTCCGGTTTGTGCTGAAGTCGCAAGATTTTTCTGGCTGGAGGAAGTATTAGCCAATTCTGGCACAACATTTTTTGTAGATAAGGCCACCAATTCTGCGTTTTCCATATTGGTGCCACTAAGAGAGCCTCTGCCCTGTCTGTCTCTACCTTCTGTAAGATCTTTGGAATGAGACTGAAAGGAGGAAACATGTAAAGTAAAGTTCCAGTATTCCAGTTTAAACTGAAAGCATCAACAGCATAAGCCCCGTGTTCTGGATATCTTGAAATATAATATTTTAGTTTGGCATTCAGCCGTGATGCAAACATATCAATGTGCATATTTCCATAAAAACTTATAAGTTTAGAAAAGATATATTTCTTCAAGAGACCACTCTAGGTCATCTTTATATTTTCTAGATAATGTATCTGCTTCTATATTTTTGCTACCCGGAATATGAGCCGCACTTATGTGGATTTGCTTAGAAATGGCCCAAAACCAGAGTTCTCTTGCAATTTCGTTCAATTGCTTTATTTTGCCCCCAAACTTATTGATGTAAGCACAAGTTGTCGTGTTGTCACTTAAAATCCTTAAATGAATGTTTGACTTGTTTTTGGCTAATGCCATCACTGCTAGTTTACTTGCTTTTAATTCTAAAACATTAATGTGTAAAGCTTGTTCTTCAATTGACCAAACTCCCTGAGTGAAGGATTTTTCAGATATTATTTCCGCGCCCCAGCCTTGCAAGCTGCTATCACATGCTATTGTACAGTCTGGATTTCCTTCAGAGACTGGTTTGAAAGTTGTTCCTAAATTTTTTATCCACCAATCAATTTGATTTTGAATTTCGTGAGTTATTTTCATAAAAGCATTGTAATTTCCTCTTTTCCAATTAAGATTAGTTTCCTTAATGTGTCCTAAAGGTCTATAAAATAAAGGCGCATATCGAACACCAGGCTCACATGCTACAAGCATACCTATTAATTTTGCAAATTCTTTTATGGTTACAAATTTTGATGATTTAATATTTTGGCATACTTGAATGATTTTTAAGAGATTTTCCTGAGTTGGTCTTACTGTCATTGTTTTGTAACAAAAAATAAATCCTACAAATGAAATTTGCTGAGTTGGCATTAAAACAGATTTGGTTGGATTGACTGTAATTCCTAACTATCCATCAAGCTGACTGTTTCTAAAATATTATTTTGACACTCCTCAAACGACTGACCTTGTAAACATGAGTCGTCTTTATAGGCTGTACTTATGTGCCCCTTTTCTCTCAATGACGCAAAAACTGGCTTTAAAACTTTTGTAAACACCCGGGGTGCTGTAGTTAGACCCATGACTAATGCTTGAAATTCATATTTTTGGCCATTGTAATAAAATTTAAAGTATCTTCTATCTTCTGCTACTATTGGAATAGAGTAATAACTTTCTGATAAATCCACAGAACCAAAGAAACAGTCTTTCCGCATTAAGTTTATTGCATTGTGTAAAGTTTCCATCTTAAAATGAATATGCTCTATGTGATTGTTAAATACCTTTAAGTTTAGGATAACTCTTATCTTCCCCTCTTTCTTTGGTCTTATGAAAATGTTTGAGATAAACTCATTTGAATCTTGTAGAGAATTAACTTTCTGAATTATACCACAATCTAAAAACCGAATAAGTTCTTTTTCTATTTTATTATTATCTACCGAACTGAATTTTATTTGGTTAGGCACAAAAGTTTGAAATGGTTCTGTATCAAGTTCTACATGGTATCCAGTAATAGTTTGTAAAATCCATTTATCACTTGTTAATTTTTCCCATTCAGAAAGATAGTTTTTAGTTTTACCAGCTATGAAGTTGTCTATAGTATTTATTAAACAGTAAGATTGATTACCAATACTTACATGCTGATTTACATTGTTCTTTTCTTTTGGCCTGGGGGATATGTCCTTGGTTTCTTGAAATTCCCGAAGCTCTTTTCTGAATTTCTGTATTTTGTTACTGGCTGTTTCCAGTGACTGTGTGATGTTGACTGTGGATGAGAGGGAGGGAATCGGTTCTGTGTCTGTGGCCTTTGATCTGATGGTCTTTCCCCCCCTCGTTTGAATTAAAAATTCTTCTTATTTGATCCTTTAGGGGTCATCTGTACTGATTTAGATGCATCCAGATTTTTACTTTTATCAGCCAAATTATCACCAAATAACCCTGTGGCTGATATCGGTTGATCATCTGTGCAAAGAGATTTAAATCTGAGGAAAACTTCTTTTTTGATGGCTTCTCTTCTTTGTTGGTTAGTTTTATTAACCTCTCCCGTCATGATCTTAACTGCATCACTGATATACGTTTTTAATGTGTTGCTGTCTGGCGCTTTATTCCCAACTATGTGATCCATTGCTCGAAGCAGGGGCACCATTGATTGGTTCAGCACGTAGTTAAACCAGATATTCTCATAAGAATATGTAAGGTTAACCAAACATTCTCAGATCACCAGATATTCTTGTAGAAGATAATGTTAGTTGAACCAGATATTCTCAGATCACCTGATATTCTCCTTAGAAGATTATGTTTGGTGAACCAGATAGTCTTCAAAGATAATGTTAGATAAACCAGATATTCTCAGAATAAATGAGATATTCTCATAAGATAATGTAAGGTAAACCAGATATTCTCAGAAGATAATGTTAGGTAAATGAGATATTCTCACAAGATTAAATTATGGTAAACCAGATATTCTCAGAAGATTAATATAAGGCACACCAGATAATTTCAGAAGATTAATATAAGGTAGACCAGATATTCTCTGAAGATTAATATAAGGCAAACCAGATAATTTCAGAAGATTAATATAAGGTAAACCAGATATTCTCAGAAGATAAATGTTAGGTAAACAAGATATTCTCAGAAGATAATGATAAGTTAACCAGATATTCTCAAGAGATAATGTTAGGTAAATGAGATATTCTCAGAAAATAAATGTTAGGTTAATCAGGTATTCTCAGAAGATAATGTTACGTAAACCAGATATTCTCAGAAGATAGTGTTAAGTAAACCATATATACTCAAGAGATAATGTTAGGTAAATGAGATATTCTCAGAAAATAAATGTTAGGTTAATCAGATATTCTCAGAAGATAAATGTTAGGTAAACCAGATATTCTCACAGGATAATGTTATATGAGCCAGATATTCTCAGAAGTTAAAATGCATCTTCTCCGAAGAGAATAACTTTATAAGATTTCATATCTTTCATTCTAATCCATTTCAACATTGTATTATATTGAATGCATGTATATTATGTACTGTGTATGATTATGAATAAATATGTTTACACTAAAATGCACCTTTGGGATTATCCCTTTCAAAAAATGTCTATTAATTTTTTCAGGAATGAACACTCTGATTAACAATAGGTCTCCATTACTTGTTAGACCTATTACAAACTACATGTACATAAATCCAAACAAAAAAAGAAAGTGTAGTATAAATCTACTAAAAAAAAATTCTTCCATTTTATATTTTTCAGAGGACTTAGCTTACCTGAAAGTCCCGCTCCACACAGTAATAAAGCTAACGCCAGTGGCCTATGGCTGTAGGGTCGAATTTGAAAGCCTGAACATACCGGCTGTAAATACGCACAGGGAACGTCCCGCGGTAAGTTAAAATTTCACGTTCGTAAACGCACAGCATACACAAACCAAATGTTCACCGTCATAAAATTTATATACTAACTTGTAGGATAGCTTAAGAATATGCACATTTAGAAAAAAAAAACTTAAGAAAAGATGCTTTAAAATGCCAAAAAATAGTTTTTTAAACCAAACTCCTATAAAACTAAGGTACTGGTATTAACCCTTTCCCTCATGAGCATATTGTGAAAAATGGCCGTTTTTCGCTGAAAAGCCTCCTGTTACAAGTTCAAACTGCTATGAAACTATGAAAAATGCTTCAATACTAATACAACTTGGCACAAATGTGGACTGGACCATTGCCTTTGTAACCACATGCTCAGTCTTAAATTTCCTGTTACCATGGCAACGAGGGGACATCTCAAAATTGCCAAAATTCACTATTTCAATGCCTCGATTTTTTCCATCAAATTTATTTTAAAGTGCTGCAACTTCTCAAGGGATTGAGATAGAGTCAAAGGCTTTCAGCGTTGGTTACACGTTACCTTATGATCGACCTGGGGTCATTTTAAGCCTCTCACAAGTCAAAATTTTCTTGGCGATGAGGGGGACTCCGCCCCCCTTCAAACCCCCCAAACAAAAGGGGGCACATCCCCCTTCTGGCAACCCCCTGATGTATCTTTTGGATTGGGGTGCCGCCGAAAAAGTGCTCATTTTTTTTAGCAACATTTCTCAAACGAAAACATGTGTTTGGGGCCCAAATAGGACATTTTTTCACTATTTCAGGCCTTAAAAAGGGGGGGGGGGGGTCGAAAGTGCGTTGTTGCGCGTATATATGGGGTTAAGGGTTAAGATTGGTTTCACTTTAAAGTTCACAATATACTTTTACTTTTAATACCAAATATGCTTAAAAAAGACATTTTTCTCCTACAAATTTATGGATGATATTATACACCATGTCTTTGAAGCGTTTCACAAAATTCCACATAATCAAAATTGCAAGTCAAAAATTAAAATTGCGTGTCAATGAGAAATATTTAAGTAAGTGGAAAATCAAAACCATCATCTTATAATGTATCAGACTTATAGGTAAATAAGTATGGAAGTATTTGTTGTAATGTTTGTATTGCGTGTCAAGAATCATTATAAAAGCAATTTATTTGAGTAATGATAATTATGTTGTTTTGTGTACATGTCTGTTGTGTGGTTTTTATGTTTGTTACTGTTTGAAAATGCATGTAACTGTAGACATTGTACATATTTTACCTGAATCTGATAAAGAGTGTCTCAATATATGTACTTGAACTAATTTTTTCAAAATTCTTCTCTATGATGCGCAATTATTTATAACAAAAGTACATGTTTAATGGTTCTTACACTAACACTTTCGTTAACCACATTTCGCGACCATTTTCATTTCAATTATTCAGTGCATGCATTTTTTGTGCGTGACAAAACTTTAAAAAAACAAAACAAAAGGAAACCCAATCAGCGTTTTTCCATTATAGCCAAATATGATAAAAAAATGCCATTAAAAAAAAGGACCAATTTCCATTGTATAAAAAACAGGCTTGAAAATGAAAAAGAAATCTATGCTTTTTATGTATTAATTTATTTTATTTATTATATTATGTGATAAAAAAATTAACATTTTTTTTTAGATGGAAAAGTTTTATTCTCGTAAAAAGAAGTGAATAGTTTTATTCTCATAAAAAGAAATGAATAGTTAAACATGAATTTCTTCAGTTTAATCTGTGATGAAATAGAAAAAAAGGCATTATGGGTAAATATAATGATTGGGTTTGCTTTTGTTTTCAGAAACCAGGGACTGTGGAGGAAGCATTAGTAGACGAGGATATGAGCAAAAAGTGCATGAAATCCCGTGCAATGTCCGTGAATTAGTATTCTTCCATAAAATATGTATGCAAGACTTTCATATGTATATGTTAATCATTCAAAGAATTTAATGATGAATATCAGCTTTAGTCAATAACAAGGTCAGTGATGTACATAAGGTTTTTGAAGTATGGAACATGTTTTGAAAGTCGTGTAACCTGGAAAACACCATAACCTATTACTTTAACAGCATTGAAAACAAAACTGCAAAGCCTTCTCCACTAGAAATGAGCCTAACTAGCTGGCACCTCTATGCAGATTGACCTGAGGATCTATAGTGTGGACAGACCAATATCCAAAATTTTCATCCTGATATCCCTTGAATAGATAATGGACTTTTTCAAAATGGAAGTTGGACAAGTCCATTCTGGAAATTTGGGGATTTATATCAGGATATCTCTTGAATTGACTTTTTCAAAAAGGATGTTGGAGGAGCCCATTCAGAAAATTTAGAAGAGTTAAATTTAGGTTTATCTTTGGAAAACAAGGAAATAATGTTGATTCATGGACATGGAGTGTTTGGGAAGGTTGTTGAAGATGTTAGTTTACCTAGTGTAAATAGTTAGGAATCACATCATACATCATTAAATTGAATAGATCATGAATGAGTGACGATGGACTTTTGATTCAAGTTGAAAGGAAGTTTGAGATGGATTGAGGAGAGAGGTATGCTGGTAGGAAGAGTGTGCTTGATTTATACATGAGTATGAGTACTTCATATGCTGTAGAACATAGGAAAAAGTGCTGTAAGAATTTAGATGTACTAAGATATAGATGTAGATTGTTTAGTGGAAAGTTGAAAGGAGAGAGAATTTAGAAATTTGAAATTGTGTGAAATCTTTTTTATTTGAATATTTTTCTTTATTTCATTGCAATTATCATAAAACTAATTGTGGTTAAAGAGATCTTAAATAAAATGAAATTGTAAAAATGTTGTAAATATAAGTTACATGTTAAAGGAACTCCACTGAGGTTGAAAAGCTTTCATGTAACATAAAATTTTAATTTCTTACATAGATCAGCTGGGGTACTTAAAACAGAAAGATTTGCAAAAGATATACAGGATATATACTCGGATATAAATTGAAAATCGTATTTTTGTACTATTTTTGTCCCAATTTGAGTGAAAAGCATTGCAACTATTTTCATTTATGGGTTGTTTTTTCACAATTTTAATCATTATTCTGGAAGAAAAGAGTGAACAAATGATCTGAAATTTGTGCACAGAAGTTATTGGTCTAGACCAATTGGATCATTAATCTCAAAAAAAAAAATATTACCAGTCTTGTCATGTCAAAAAAACCTCCCTTTAAAATATGTCTTAAAAAAAGTCAATTTATTTTTTTGGAAAATATAGTCAACATTTCATATTTTTGCATCATGATTGCATAATTGGGCTATAAAACTATCATATATATCAATTAACCCTTTACCTGCTGAATTTGTGTAATGGATTGGCCCAAATGGAACGATCCATTCAATGTTTTAGGGATTTTAATTTCAATTACAAAAAATTGAGCTACCAACAGTATAGAGCCTGGTCAAGACTGCACGAAAGAACAAGCTGGTCTGGCTCTACACTGGTGGCAAAGACTAATCACATATTTCAAGGTTAAGGATTAAGAAAATGTTATAATACTGCATAATATTAATTTCGCTTTTCATTGGATAATCATGGTGTTTATATTATTTATATACACGACTACTGTCAATTCATGAAGAAATTTCATTTTTGTCTCAAAGAAGGAAGTTTAATGTCTTATAGATCATTTGTAATAAAGATTCTAGACAGGCTATATGATAGAATTTTAAATAATTATTTGCAATATATATAACCAGTCAAAAATCTTTATAATTCACTATACAAATGACCTTTAGAAAGTTTAATGCTCATACTGTTGAAGTCTCCTTTAGAATAGAGAGTAGAGAGAGCTAAATTGACCTCACCCTGGCCTCAGCTTCACGGTCACATTTTGATACATTTTTGCATTTAAGTTGGTATCTTCAAAACTACTGAAAGAAATGGATTGAAACTTCATACGCCTGATCTCTGTTATTATCTTACATGATGGAAACGGGTCCTATAACTCTTAAGTTACTTTTTTACAGAGTTATGCCCCTTTTTCTTACTTTCAAGCACTGAGAATAGTCAACTGAGCTGTATTACGGACAGATCTTGTTGTATTTTGATATTTAAGTCCCTTAAACTTCATTTGGACTGTTCCAAATTTAAAACAAGGTGAATCCATAACAGAAATTCAGCAGTTAAAGGGGAAGTTTGGTTATTGGAAAATTTGAAAGGTTGCATTAATGACCAAAAGTATCTATTTTGTATATCACATAAGTATTGGTATAAATACCTTTAAATGTTCAGCATTATATATATATGGTTATGATTTTTATCAAAACCTTTGTTTATATATATATTTGTACAATATATATTAAAATTTTATAGTTGTAATTTTTGTCCTATATATTGTTTTGAGGTTCTCATTGTCATTTTATACTTTTGTATTACCAGAGATTGACTACTTAAACAAGAGTTATTTTAAGGAGCTTAAGAACGCTAGAGGTATATGAAGCTTAACAAAAGAATATTTAAGGGGCGTATGTGGCCAAGTAGTTGACTTCAAACCACTTGCCCCTCTCGACAGGGACTTTGAAAAACTGTGTATTTCTTAATTTTAAAGTCAGGTTGTTTTCTTTTGGCATATCAACTTTTGGGGGCATTACACTATTTTTGTTGAGAATTTTGAGAGAATAATTGCACAAGATTTTAAGTTGATAATATAATGCTTGTAGCGTTTTACGCTCTAGATGAAGTTGGAATGACTGCAAAAAATGTTATATTGTTTTTAGACAATTTAACTGAAGAAAATCTTACATTAAAGTATGTTCTAATCATGGTTAAATTTTAAACACAAATAAATAAATTTGCTTTATAACAATTTTACTTACTCATTGGAAATAAAAAAGAAAAATTGTAAAGTTCAGTGCTCTAGGGGCGCTAATTGCAAGTGATAAGGTATTATAAAAGGCCGTGCCCTCGGGGGCATTTATTGGAAATAATACAGTATGTGTGCTACTTAATCGGCTTTAAGCTTATGTGTTTCTTTCCTTGCATGTTAAATATATATTTATGCAAGTTTAATAATATATTTTTTTAATCAACTTAATGCTTGTCATAATATAAAATTCCATCAAGATCTGAAATTATGATCTTCTAGTTACCTCACAACCAGATGAGGCTTATACTGGAATCATTTTGAGACACAAATTGTAGCTTTTTTCTAATATCTGATATTTTTTGTACATAATAATCTTTGAGACTCTGTTTTGAATGTAAATAACCATTTGCTTTTCTACAAATAGCTGACATAATATATAAATATTCTCCTATTTCTTGATGAATTTTTTGTTTCTGCAAGAGAAATATTTTTTTCACCTCTTGCAGAAGCAAAAATAGAAATTAAAAGAAAATTTATTGACATCAATATAGTATATACTTTATTCAGGGCACAGACAAGAAATGTTTTATTGTTATATAGATTTACATATTACCATTTTCTGTCAGGGATTTTTAAGATGACATGTTGTTTATAGTCGTATATATTACCTATGTTAGGTTTCACCTTCATAGAAATATGACACTAACAGGGCTTGTTTTTGCTTAATGTTAAGTAAATCTGTATTTAGCAAAAGTCACCTTTTGTGATTTTTGTTTTAGCTTGAAACCACTTGATTTATTTAAGCATAAAGAAAGCATAATGTAAGTGGATTAATATTACGTAGTTTTTTCCCATCCATGATAAAAACTGCTTTAAATACTTGTGTCCTTTGTCTTATTGGTTTGTCATAAGTTAAGTAGGTCAAGGTCACTTGGTAGTAGGTCAATGTCTTTTGGTATTGAATTAGGTTAAGATCAGAGGTTGTACAGTTTTTAAGACCCAGTGTAATCAACAGAGCAGATAGTCATACTATAGCATGAACCTAGCACTTGTGAAATTGAAATATATGCACAGCATAGGGCTTGTTCACAATCATGATTTGGTTTTTAAGCTACTCTAATTTCTGCATAAGTTCAGCTTGTAAATTTGCAATCGTTTCATCTACTGTGTTCAAATCATAAGTACATCACATTATGTTGTATTTTCAAGCACTTTATTAGGACATACTGAAATATGGCCTTGACCTCAAAATGACATTGACCTTTCAAGGTCAAATTTTCAAAGAGTCAATCAATTTTGCACATGGATTATGGGTATAAGTTTTTGTTATTGTGCAAACAGTTTCTTTATTCTGTTACATTGTTTATAATTTATAGAAAGAGTGCCAGATGCCATATTTATAGAGTGTCATATTAAGATGTAATATGCTTCCAACATATTTTTTTGTTACTGATTAAAAAAAAGACACACTTGTAATGTTTCTTAAACAATAACAATCTGACCATATCAAAACAGTTGAAGGGTATATGTTTCATTGTGCATTATTTTAATAGACAAGCATTAACACCACATGCAGTGCTCTTGTTCCAAGATTTTTAGGGCAAGTGACTTTTAATTTATTTTCTTCCTTTTTTTTAACAGTGAAATTAACTTTATTCTTGGAATTTTGAAATTCTGTTCACTACAATTACATGTATATAACTTATCTTTGGTGAAGGTGAAATTCATGTTTTTCAAATTTTGGTTCAAGGTAGATAATACTGGCATTAGATTATTCCCCTTGCTGTAAGGAATATTATACCAATATATGAAGTTATTCCCCTTGGTTCAATGTAGAAAATACTGGTATAAAATTATTCCCCTTGCTTTAAGGAAGATATACTACAAATATTAAGTAATTCCCCTTCCCCTCCTCAAGGCAGATAGTACTGATATTCGTTATTCCCCTTGATTAAAGGAACATATACAAATATTCAGCTATTTCTTTTAAAGAAGATACATTTGTATTAGATTAATCCCCTTGATACAAGTTTGATATACAGGTATTGGGTTATTCCCCTTTGTTCAACAAGTTTGATATACAGGTAGTTTAATATACAGGTATTGGGTTATTCCCCTTGGTTCACCTTAAAGGTACGGGTATAAGGTTGTTTTCATTAAATATTTATAATGATTTGTCATTTGAAACTGTGTTAAATCTGCCATAGCTAGGTATTTGATAACATTTATACATGTATCAATAGAATTTGTAAACACAAAAAGTGTTTTTGAAAATTTGTTCAGGAATTATTGGATTATATTAAAGAAAACAGTATTGGTTTTATATTTTAGAACATATGCACACTAGTCAGGACAGGGGTTGTAACTCTTCAGGTCCTTGTAGTGTCTCAGATTTATATTATAAACAGATTTACGGAAGTTGTTAAATTGTTGTTGAAATTTTTTTTATTTCTCAATAAAAGTGGTAGAAAATAATTGTAGTTGTTATTTTATTGTTTATTTAGGAAAAAGATAACAATTTTGAGTGCATTGTTGTAGAATAATGCACAGTTTGAGATCAAATGTGCATGACTAGTATAATCTTAAAGGCCTTAAGGCTTGAGTGATTAATCACAAAGCATTTGAACGATAAACCATGCATTATTATACCAGAATACAATAAAAATTGTTTAGCACGGAGAAAGGTAGTCTATTACTGGTGTAACTCTCCAGGAACAGTGGTTAGGAAACTACCCGCCTATATGACTGAAATACTGTTGGGAAGAGGCGTAAAATGAAACAAACAAACAAAACAAAACAAGAAAAATTAATTTCTATTTCCATTCTAACATGCCAATAAAAATGAGAATCGATAAAAATATGCTGAACAACATTGAGCGTATAGGTAACTTTCCTGGTATCATTTGGTTGATTGACATCATATTTGACGTCATATGGGCGTGTAAACATACGTTTTATATGCTGTGTATATATTGTATAATAATGCACTTGACAGGACAATAGTGTGAAATATGTTAGAACTTGTGACGAAGCTACCTTTTAAACCGAGTGATGTTTCAATAATTATGAAGAAATGCTTAGAAACCTATATCTTACTAAGTCTACAAGTATGAAGTAAAAGTAAGTTTAACCTTAACCTGCAACTTTTAGGAACAAAGCCTAATTCCTAGCACTGGAAATACACTGCTTGTGTAGGGCATCCTTTAAAAAAAATATTTAAGCCCACCTTTTCATTTAAGAAACAGTCACACCTGAACTGAAGCCATGCACTGATTTTAATATTATACTGAAATCTTAACACTATAGGTAACCATTTTTATACCGAAAGGGCATATTATGTTATACCCCCTGGCGTCCGTCTGTCTGTCTGTCCGCACTCACAGGACAGTAATTATGTGGCTAGAGGGACAATAGGTAACTGTTCTTTCTCTTTGATGTCATTCATTCCGTAATGCTTTTATGTGGCTATTTTCTTTTGTGTGGCTAAAAAGAACAATAGAGAGAACAATAGAGTAGCCACCTAATTACTGTCCTGTGAGAACATCCGTCCATCCGTCCGTCAGTTAGCAATTTGGTTTCGGGAGCATAACTTAAGTTGCATTTGACCCACAATGTTCAAACTTCATAGGATGATTGTCCATATTGGGTAGAAGACCCCTATTGATTTTGGGGTCAAAAGGTCAAAGTCACTATTACCTTAAAACTGAAAACAGTTTCCGGAGCATAACTTAAGTTCCATTCGACCCACAATGTTCAAACTTCATAGGATGATTGTCCATATTGGGTAGAAGACCCCTATTGATTTTGGGGTCAAAAGGTCAAGGGTCAAGGTCACTATATCCTTAAAACTGAAAACAGTTTCCGGAGCATAACTTAAGTTCCATTTGGCCCACAATATTCAAACTTCATAGGATGATTGTCCATATTGGGCAAAAGACCCCTATTGATTTTGGGGTCACTAGGTCAAAGGTCAAGGTCACAATTACCTTAAAACCAAAAACAGTTTCCGGAGCATAACGTAAGTTCCATTTGGCCCACTATATTCAAACTTCATAGGATGATTGTCCATATTGGGTAGAAGACCCCTATTGATTTTGGGGTCACAAGGTCAAAGTCACTTTTACCTTAATACTGAAAACAGTTTCTAGAGCATAATTAAAGTTCCAATTGGCCCACAATATTCAAACTTCTTAGGATGATTGTCCATATAAGGTAGAAGACCCCTATTGATTTTGGGGTCACAAGGTCAAAGGTTAAGGTCATTATTAATAACTTAAGTATTAATCAACCTACAGCTGTAAAATTTTATAGGATGAACAGCTAATTCCCATGTCTTACAAAAAAAAAACATTTTCGGGCATATAATGCTCCGACTAGCGGTGCTCTTGTTAGCTTTTATTTTTCCATGAAGAGTTTAGCTTTGTTTGTGTATCAGTGGTTGTCATAACAACTTGTTATGGTTTAGTGTGCAGCCTCATATCTTATTAAAACACTAAGAATAAGAACGGTAATAACTTCACACATGACGATATGATAGTAGATTGTTAACTAAAACACTTTATTCTTATTCTAGCATGGCTTATTACTGAATTATTCACCATTATGAATCTGGAAAATGTCTGATAAAGGTTTTGTGTGTTTCTCCTCTAGAGGTATTCACTAACAGATCTTTCGAGTCACTAACTAGGACACATAACTCTAGCAGGAATTTTTACTGGATTAATGCCCTTAATTTGAGCTATAAAAAGAATTCTTGAATGACTTGGTTTATTACAAGCACTGAGAGTTGTCCACATGTCTGTTTAAAAGCTCCTGTTATTATCTTTATTTAAAAACTTTTTTATGCAAAAAATAACTTTCTTGTAGAAAATGACTGACATTTATAGACCAAGTCAATAAAACCTATATTTGATCTTTCTCAAAGACTTTGCTATGCATAAAAACTTCACAAGACATACACTTTGAAATTATATTATACAAAAGCAATAAATTGTGTATTTCGGTCAATATTTTCTTTATTTTATGTTTAAGGAAGGAATGTTAGTGATTATCAATAAGGAAATCAAATTTATGAAATTCTTTATGAATTAGTTACTTGCAGATCAGATTTTTATGCCCCCCTTCAAAGAACTTTGCATTTGTCTGTCTGTCGGTCGGTCTGTCGGTCCGTTGACCAAAAGGTTTCCAAGTGATAACTAGAGAACGCTTAGGTCTAGGAACTTCAAACTTGGTATGATGATTGTTCATGACTAGTAGATGACCCCTATTTATTTTGGGGTCAAGGAGTCAGAGGTCGAGGTCACATTGACCTTGAAGATAAAAACAGTTTCCGATCAATAACTAAAAAACGCTTAGGCCTAGGAACTTCAAACTTGGTATGCTAATTTTTCATGACCAGTTGATGACCCCTATTGATTTTGGGGTCAAAGGTCAAGGTTACATTGACCTTGTAGGTAAAACCGGTTTCAATAACTAAAGAACACTAAGGCCTAGGAACTTCAAACTTGGTATGATGATTGCTCATGACCAGTAGATGACCTTTTTTGATTTTGGGGTCAAGGGGTCAAGGTCACATTGACCTTGTAGGTGAAAATAGTTTTCTATCAATAACTGGACAACCCATAGACCCTTGACCTTCAAGCTTCACAGATGCATTGCTTTTGGTCAGAAGATGACCTCAATGGATTTTTGGGGTTAAAGGTCAGAGGTCAAGATCACATTGACCTTATAGGTAAAAACGCTTTCTGATCAATATCCCAACAACTCATGGCCCCTTTACCTTCAAACTTCACAGGTGCTTTGGTCTTGGCTAGTAGATAACCCTATTGATTTAAAGGTCAAAGGTCAATGTCATATTGACCTTGTAAGTAAAGACGGTTTCTGACCAATAACTCAACAAATCAAGTTACCTTGGTTGATTTTTTTAAAACTAAAAATGCTTTTGGTATACACCTTTCAAGGTCTTATGAAATATAACAACTTGGCTGTCATTAATGAGACCTACATGATTCATAAAATTTATGCATACATTATTTAGTAAGATTTGTTATAACTTTGTCATAAAATTGCTGCACACTACCTTTGCGGTCACAATTACCTAGTGCCTATTCATAACCAGTAGATAACCTTTATAAATTTTTTGGTCACTAGGTCAAAAGTCAGTCATAATAACCTGATCACATGACAAATAGGCTGCCAATAGGGGGCATAGTTATAACATGTTTTACAATTATATCTTGTTTCCTTTAAATCAAGACATTTTATTGAATAATAAACATGCAAAATACATGTATATTACTTTATTCCACTCATAAATGCAACTAAAGAAATATAAATTCAACATTGAGAGAATGGAAAGCTATGATTGACTCTGAAAATAAAAAATATATGTCCATACTTAAATTATGTAGACAAAAATTCCTTATCAGATTCCATTTTAAATGGTAGAGTGTGTGCTAGTTCTATGCTCTGTGTTAATTAAGACTGAAAGGGGCTGATAAGCAAAAAGGTTTAGATTGCTTTATGTCTATGATTCTGTGATTTGATAGATTTAGTAATACAATTTTAATTTATGGTTCATCGGTGGAACTTGTATGGATGTGTGGGTTTAAACCCCATCAGGGGAAAGCTGTTGAATCAAAAAGCAAGAAACTTTACACTCATTGCTCGGTACTTATTGGTTCCAGGAACAGATTAAAAAATGTAATCAAACTAAAAATTAGTTCAGTATAAGCTAAACAAAAATATAACTGGGCCAGCCTACATATCAATCCCTTTGGGTTTTATATTGTTGCACTATTTTATAAGTTTTATATTGAAACCCCCTATTATGATAATGGACAGTTCCATTTTCAATGCAGGACGAGTCCACTTTATAAGAGCAGAAGAGAAATGGAGAGAATGGGTAACTGATGTTGTCATAATTATATATATTTTCAGAATACTGATCTCAACAGATCAAAGGATGACGCCATGGCAACAGTGCCACCTGTAGACCAGTTAGAAGGGGAGACAACTACTTTACAGAACCCGGCAGAGGAGCCATTTATAGAATAGTCATCAATTAAACCACGCCCAACAAATGTCCGGCCCACATTGTTTCTGCATGGATAGGAAACTTCATGCTTGGTTGGTTATGGGCGTAATCTGCATTTGATGATCTTTAGATGTTTGTCATCTATGTTAAGAGATATGATTAGAAATGATCTGCTTGATGTTTTGGCATAACTCAGATATTTGTAAATTTTTGAAAATTTGGTAACATCTTTCAAAGCTAACTAACTTTCATTTGATGTTTGAAATTTAATTATAATTATGGTTATAAGGGAAAGATATCTGTGGTTGCTTAATTATTTTTTCCTGATTTATAATGCATTTCTTGTTCCACTTGCTTCTCACTGCTGTAGGTTCTACATTGTGTTTGTAACGTTGAATGCAGAATGATGTTCTTTGTGTATTCACTAGTCTTGTGACTCA